TTCATTCATAAGAAGACTTATAAGGAAGGAAGGATTTTTTTGATTTTTTTTTTTTTGTTTTTGCCTCTAGGTAAAAATGTAACTCTCTTGAATCAAACATAATCTTTTTTCTGCTGAGCTTTGCTTAGGAAGTTAAGTCCAGCCAAAGGAAACACTGCAAATTCCCCTTCATAGTGAAAAACAGTGTAGTCCTGCTGCTCTGTCCCCTGTAGACCAACATGACCAACCCTCCATGTCTGTCTTCAAACCAGCTGCTCTGTGGCAAGGCAAAATCATTCAGGCTTTGCTAGCTCTGTACATGCTGAGAGATAATGCTGTTCTTCCCGCTTCATGTGGAAACACTTAATATATTAACAATCTGTGTCACACTCTACACTCTGCAATTTATATGGGCAAAAGAAACAATGCTTATATAAGGATCCAAGAGTTCACTGTCAGACTAATTAATGCTTTAAGGGTCTAATCAAAATAACAAATATTTGGGTTTAATCCAGTTACAGCAATATTAATGCTAATTGGATAATTTGGACTATAATTGTTAATGTGATTGTTAATTCCCATTACAACACAGTTCAGATGTGTATGCACCTGATTTTAAGTCTCTGCCCCTTCCCCTGGTGTTGAGCCCTCCCTGCTAATGTGGTGATGTGACTGTAGTCTCTCTTCTTTGCTAGGAAGGTGATGTTGATAGTGGGAGTTCCTTCACTGGTCATGTGTATTGGGGGTTATTTTTATATGCTGTCAAGCATTTCCGTAATTTCTCTTCTTGTTGCTCCATGGACTTAATTGCACAACAATCACCCAGTTTTATTAATGTTTGCAGTCCAGGATAATTCTTCAGTTGCCTTGCGGTTGACAGCCAGGAGAAGTGGAACCGTGGTCATCTGTCCACTGCTATAGCCAAATCTGAGCTAAAATGAGCTCAGGCCAGGACTTGTGATGCTATAGAGCCTGTTATGCAATATAGCAAGGCCTGTAGCCTGCTCACAGCAGTGGCAGCACTGTATTTTTGGTGCTGCCAGCCATGTTCCCTGCAACTCATTTATCAGCTGTGGACTCAGCCTCTGCACAAAGCCATGCCCTGCTCTCTGTCCCTTGCCATTGGGTCAGTTTATTCCCTGTTCTGGTTACTGTCATAGGTGAGCAATGTTCAAGGGTGAACAATCTTCAGCACACAGTTGAGTGTGCTTTGTGCTTGTCAGGACTGTTTTCCCAGGCAACTCTCCATCTGATGAGGTGAGGCCAGCATCTAGCTCATAACCCAGGGCACCACAGCTCTCTACATCTTACCACACCTCCTGTCTTTTAACACAGCTTTGACTGAAGCTCAGGACATTCACCTGCACCTGACACCCCTCAAGCACCACTTGGAGTACATAGAGAGGGTTGAGTTCAGCGAGGTGAAGCCTTTCCTGGTCCCCCTTCTCCATGTGGTGTGTTTGATCTGGGTCACCTCCAAGCACTACAACGTGCCTGGGCGGATAGTAGTGCTGCTCCAGGAAATCTGCAACCTTCTCATTCAGCAGGTGCGTGGCTGCGATGCCTGTGTTTGGCAAGGGGAATATCTTAATGAAAGTCCCCTCTCTCCTTCCCCCTGTCCTTCCCTGACAAAGTGATTCTTTAAGTCATGTGTGACTTGAGAGGCACTTTTAAACATGTTCAGTGCAAGAAGTCATTGTTTAATGTGGCAGAAGAAGTGATCTCTCAGGTGTGACTTTGCTGTTCCAGGCCCTGGTTTACCTGTCTCCAGAAGACCTTCTGAAAGGGGAGATGGAAGAGAGCCTGGGCAAGGTGCAAATGGTGTGCGGCATCCTGAATGCATTCAAAGGGGCATTCGAGGAGAGAAGGGAAAAACTTCATACATATTATGAACCAGGCCAAGAAGTGAGGGAGTGGGACTTCCATGCCACGATGGTATTTGCGAGGCTGGACAGCTTCATGAAGAGACTGAAGGTGGTAGAGGTGAGACTCTGGTTTTGAAAAATATCGCAAGCCTTCAGAAGAGCTCTGTAGCCATGAACTCCTTTTCTGGCATCTTCCCTTCCTGTAGCTTCACCTAATGCCAGGGATGGGGCTGCTCTCTTTGGTGTTAGGCCCTCTGTTACAGTAAGGCTAGCATCTTGTTTTACCATTTCCTGCTCGGTGCCTGTGTTCTGGTCAGGTTGGTAGGTGTGTCTTCTGTTCCCAAGAGTCCTGTTGGACACCTTGCTCCTGTTGGGGCAAGGGAATGAGATTTACTGGTGGCAGTGGTTTGCATGGCTGTAAGTAAAGCAATGCAATTTCCTAGTCCTCCATTTGCCATCAGAGACACTCTGGAGTGGGATCCTGCCTGACTTTCAGAAGCCACCTGCTCACCTTGAGTCTGGACACCCCTTGGCTGAGCCACATGGGCCCGGGCAGGAGTGGGAGAACATTCCTCACCAGGTCATCCCTTCACATCCTAATGGTTTGTCGAACTGGGCTACAGTGGCTCAGAGGTGTCCCTGTTTGCCGACGTTTTTCACTGTGAGGGCATCACCTGAGGCAAGGATTTTTGGTGTCATTCCTCAGCTTCCAGCATGGCTGAGGGCTCCTTCAGCCAGAGGGGATGCAAAGAGCAGGTCTGAATGTGTGGAGGCAGCCTTGTGCATGTTAGCACTCTCTGCTTTCCTTGTTGGGTGGCCGTGCCTGGAGATGACATTCTTACAGACACTAAGCATACCTGTTTTACAGACACTCTATGTACCTGTTCTCTCTCAGGCAGTTAACAGCACATATTCATCTGCCATTCACACACTTCTGAAGTAAGTCTCTCTATTGTTGCCAAGTTTCTGGCATGTAGGATCAGAGGTACAGTGTACAGGCTGCCAATATTTGTCTATTCAAAGGGAAGTCCAAGTTATATTTCTCCTTTTCGTGTTCTCTGGAATGGGACAGAAGGTTTTACTGGTTTAAACATGCTGTATATTTGTATGCATACTTTAATTAACTACATTGAAAACCGTCTTGAATGCTGTCTATTTTAAAACTATTCATAATGATGGTTTCCAACAGGGTTTGGTGTGCAGTAAACCAAATTGTGCTGGTCAGCGTAGAGAGGAATATAAGTAGACACAGGAGTAACTGCAGGTCATTGTGAGAACAATATGAGTGACAGTTATTATGCAATGTAATTATGCACTGTCACTCTGCAAAGGCACTGATTGCTCCTTGCTTGGATTCTATGTGAGCTGCACATGCACTGCCATGGTGGCAGAGCACTGTGCTTTTTGAACAGTGCCACTGTTCCCCTTCCATGGCTGTCCCACACCTCCAGGGACAGTAAAAGACAACAGTATATCGAGTCACATGGACACCCTATGGAGTGAGCTGTAAAATAATAATTAAAGGCATTGTGCACATCAGCCTGTTTATCAGAAAACCCTCTGCCTTTCCCCATTTCTATTTCCCTACCGACGCTTCATTTCAAGCCACCTTATAAGACAATGCAAGGGGCAGCCTTTATTTCGATGCTATTTTTGCCTTACAAGGTATTTCTTAAAGTGAATTTGCTCTTAATAAATAGCATGTGTACATTTGTTTTTGGAATTTCATAAAAGCTTCAGTTACGCTGGTGCATGGGTAACCCAGGAATGTGTGGAGAGAGAAGGGTGTCTTTCCCCTGGTTCATTTCACTGTTTTGCATTGCATATCTGTTGTAAAATCTGCTGCCTGGCTGGGTTGGCTCTCTGCTTTCTCCCTATTCTCTCAGAAATGTGGGAGGGTTCTCAAAGCGGCAATTGGTTAGCCTTCAGGGACCTGCAAGCAGCCGTTCCTGATAAGCCCAGCCATGAAAGGAGCTGTATGTGTGCAGCATCTGCCAGCCTCTGCCTGCAGCATGTGGGGCAGCAACAAAGCCTGGTGATGCCTTGGCATGGCATGGGAAGCTCTAGGCCATGGGCTGTGTCCTGGGCTGTGACTCGTTCAACAGTCCCTGTCCAAGAGGCCGACACTGGCCAGATGCTGTCCGTTTGGGGGTGAACCTCGTACCTGCTTAGGTCTGCATCCAGGGTTGTCTTCTGAGCTCAGTACAAGCAGGATGGCCATCAATACATCCCTATTCTTGAGATCAGCACGTTTCTTCTTGTTCTCTGAAATGACAGAGGTTCAGTGAGTCCTCACTTAGCCCTACCAAGAGATGGATGGGGTGCTACAGGGCTGCCTAGTGCTGCTGCCACATCTGGGTGAGTGCGACATTTTCCTGAGAGGTGGCACCGCGGGGTCAGGCCCTGCCAGGCTGCAGAGGATGGGAGGGGAAGGACCCATGCACCCATCTCAGCAGAGAGGGCCAGCTGGGCAGGGTTAGCAACACTCGCTTAGACACACAGAGGTTTTACAGAGCAGGAGCGTTGGGACAGGTCAGGTAAACATTAGAGGGCTCCTCCTGGTTAAAACCTGAGCTATTCTGGGTGATGTATCAGGGCCTCATTTGTTGCTTTGGATCTGTCCCCTAAATACCATTAAAAGTAATTTTACAGTTGACATAGTATTTCCAGTGGCAGCAGCAGATCCCTCTAAGGAGTGACATTATAATGTCTGTGGTGGGCAGGATCTGGCTCCCCCCTTCCCATTTGTGAGCACCAGAGATATGCTTGAGGAGGTCCTCTGGCATGGTAACAAGCACAGCTCCATGTTGTGACAACTGTTGTCATCTTTTGTCAACATCTTAACCTGTATGTGCCTCCATTGATTTTGAAGGATCTGCTGGCAAGTGCCTTGGACCTAATGAAGCTGGAGAAGATTGAGTTCAGTGGTATTAAAGGGAAGGCCCTGGGCCAGCATGTGCTGGACATGTATGAGGAATTCCAGGAGGCATACAGGGTGTTTGCAGAGAAAACCTATGACTGTCTTGACCTGATGAACACGGTACGTGGAACCAGCTTGCAGGAACGCCAGCAACATGTGCATATTTTCAAAGCAGCAGTTCCCTCTGATGGACCCAGGCTCAGGAGAGGGTGGGGAGGCACTGGAACAGGTTGCCCAGAGAAGCTGTGGATGCCCCATCCCTGGAAGTGTTCACAGCCAGGCTGGATGAGGCTTGGAGCAACCTGGTCTACTGGGAGGGTGTCTCTGCCCATGGCAGGGGATGGGAACTGGCTGAACTTTAAGGTCCCTTCCAGCCCAAACTATTCTGTGATTCTATGATTCAGCTGGAGTCCTGTTGACTTCTTCCCAACTTCTTCTTTTGTTGTGATATGATCTGTCACTGTAGGGAACAGGGACCCGCTGGTCTTTCTTACAGAGATTTGGGAGCTCTTGCACGTCTATGTCTACCATATTTTTCTAGTTCAGGACCTCAGACCAGTGCAGCTGGGAAACCTGGGTATCTGTGCCTTTTACACAACCTGTATACATAGTGCTTTCTGGGGTGTATGAGCTGTACCAATACCTGCATCTCTCTGCTTTCCTGCTCTTGGTACCTAGCTTGCCTTATGACGGCCAGATCAGGTAACCTCTGAGGATGTGTTTGCTCTTGTCTAATTGCACTCATGACATGTAGTGCTCTCACAATTCAAGGACTCAGTATTTCATTATCAGTAGTGCTTTAATATGTTCCCAACTATCTGGGTCATGGCTCAATGGCCATCCAGATCCCAGAGGCTCACACCAGTATGTGTTGCATGAGCAGAGCAAAGCAAATATGCCACAGGCCTCCTTAAGGTCTATTTGGAAATTCCTGCCCTTGACTTTGACACCGAGCAATGTAACCTGGGTGAGCTATGAAAAAGGGTGGGAATGATGTTTCTGAAGGGGTCTGTGTGCCGTTGTTGTGTCTTATCTCAGGATCTTTGATTTCTTCTGCTGCTTGTCTCACTTGCCCTGGGGTCAGTTTACTGCATCTGATTAGCAGGATATAGTTAGGCCTGTCTCCACATCTAGGGAGGGAATGCTAAAACTGGAGTAGCCATGGAGAAACTATATGGTGAGGATCTCCTGTCTTGTAATGATCATGGGGCAGCTGATCATGGCAGAGATCCAAGTGAAAGGTAATCCCAGGGCAAAGTCCTCCCTCCAGCAGGCTCCTGCCTGGCTCCCTTCAGACAGGGCTGTACTTGGTGAAGGATGGCAGGGCTGGTGGTGAGGCATGGGGCTGGTGTACCCTTCCTTCAGGTGTAGGGACCTGTCTGGAGTGGTGATGGGTGGCTTGTGCTTTGCTTCCTGTAGTTCCCAATACATCTTTGCACTGGGGGGCATGTCCCCAGAGCTGTCTTGGACAATCTTGCTGGAAAGCTTCTTATTCCATGTCACCCCTCCTTCAGGAGGGAGGGCATAGAAAGAGCGGTGACAGTGGCTCTACAGGGGCTGGCTGAGTTTCAGTGACTCCGTGGCCTTTTGTGTGACTCTGAGTCATGCTTGTTCTTTCAGTGCTTGAGTTTTGCACCCTCTGTTACTTTTTACAGCCTCTTTTGTTACCTAAAACATGGCATCTGGTCCTGATTGAGCTCAGCAGTGACAATAGCAAAAGCTGTTCCTTTATGCTTTGTCCTTTCAGAAAAGAGACACATGGCCTAATTTTTAGTGGCTTTGTCCAAGCTAGGACAGAAGGACTCCCAGTCTCCCAGTTTGTCAAGTTCAGTCTTTGATTTGGACTCTTTTACCCAAAACAAACTCAGATTTTATGCTTGAACTTCAAAGGATATATACAGTTGGAGCAAGAAAAGCAGTGCCAGAAGACGAGGGAAATTACAGAAACACTGAACTGTTGAGGGTGGAAGATCACCTCTGGAGATCACCTAGTCCACCTCTGCTGCTCAAAGCAGGCTCAGCTAGAGCAAGACTGCCGTCAGGATAAATATCTCCTAGGCTGAATCCAAAGTCTCCAAGGGTGGAGACTCCACAACCTCTCTGGGCAACCTGTGCCAGTGTTTTGAAACTGCTTTTATTGTTGCCCCACTTACAGCCAACTCACAGTCAAAACCACAGGTTTGTTTTGGCTTCAAAGTAGACTGGATTTGGAACCCAGCGAGTGCATCTGTGGGTTTTCTGGATGATGGCGTAGTCTTCAGGCCAGCTCCCAGGGAGAAGGTGCAGAAATAGTCCATCTTGCCTCTAGGCTGAAGTTAGTGCTTGTTGGACTGTGGAAAACCCTCGGGACTGAAGGATCCATCCCAAAGGGCCATGATCTCACCTGTGGGATAGCACAGAAATGTCCTCAAGCTCCGTAGGGCTTTGCTGTGCTGTGCTGGTTGAAAGTTGTCCAGAGGAGGGGTTTAATTCCTGGTGAATAAGAAGAGGAAAGATGTCTGGATCATGAGGATGCAGGTACCTTCTCAGTGCCATCTCACATCCTCACGGGCTGCTGTTTTGCCGTCCCACAGGAGTTTGAAAAAGACGCCTTTGATTTCCAGTGGAAAGTAGAAGACATCGACCGGCGGCTGGGCACTGTTTTCATCCAGGCTTTTGATGATGCCTCGGACTTGGAGCACATCTTCCAGGTTTGTCTGTCATGTCCCTTCTCTTTCGTAGAGGGGAGATCAGGGCATCTATAGTTTTGTGATTCTCGGTGAGAATCCCCCATAGGACGCCAGCCAGTGCTGTAGCTACAGACACACATGTTGTTTGCCAGTGGAAATTGAAAGGGTGGTAATAAGACTTGTAGCTTTGGGGCTGGTGTTGGTTAGTGATGCTCAGGCTTGTGGATCCCTTGCAACCTGTCAAGTTGTAGAGTGGCAGCAGGGTGTGTGCTGAAAGCTTTGGGAGTATTTCTGCTCTTCCCATTAAGACACAATCCTTTGTTCACTTCTAGAAAGAGTAATCACAGAAGATATTCAAATCAGGCTTTTGGATGCCAGGAGTCTTACTTGTATTTCTACCTGTGAGCTGGAGGAAATTATGCGTTTTGTAGGATTTCTTGTTGAAAACGGTTTTTAAAAACCAGGTGATTATTGTTAATACCAAATTGTTAATATTGGTAATACAGGGATGCGTTTCAGTTTTGGAAACTGAGGTTTTCTACCAACAGGCTGTTTTGTTTACCAATTAATCTATCTTGCAGAAAAAGTAAATGATATTTTTGGAAAAAACTTCAGTATAAGTGTTTGTAGAAAATATTGTGGAAAATGATAGTGTTTATCTTTGTAAGATTTTTGGAAAAAATAGCAGATTTGGAAGCATTTGAAGAGTGACAATTGGAATATGATTCACGCCCAGAGAATGTCTGAGCAGCTCTGTAACAAAGGAAGGGACTACTTGGAAAAACAGGGTATAGAAAATAAATGTGTGAGGAAGAGGAAGTGAGGAAGATCCTAGTAGGTCTCCCTGCAGAAGTTGGGGTTGTGAATTTTTTCCCCTTTCTTTCCCTGCGTCTTCACCTCCACAGTTGCTGGACATGTTTGGGAGCCTTTTGGAGCGACCAGTAATTGCTGCAGATGCTGCTGACAAATACTCTGTCCTCATCAGCATGGTCAAGAGTGCCTTGGACCATGCTAGGCTGATCTACTTGAGGCACATCCAGGCAGAGACAGAGCTCGGTGGGTAGCCTGTACTGAGTAAAATTGATTTTACAGGAAATTGGATTTAGATTAAATTTTTTTGGAAAATAATTTGCTTTTTCTAAAGAACCCAAACTTCCCAAATTGCAAATGTTTTCAGCCTCTATTGCTCTTTGTGGAAATGGAAATGCCTGGTAAAGCTCTGTTCTTAGTACAAAAGCATATAAAATGTTGGAGAAAAACATCCTTTCTAAAATGTGTATACGTGATATGTGACTGGGAATGAAGACACATGCTGAGTTATCGCCTCAGCAAGGCTGTGAGAAGAGGTTTCTCCCCACACACGTGTGCTGCCTCAAACACCCCATGGGACTTGCAAACTCACTCATGTGCTTCCCAGTATGAATTTATTGTGTTTCCCTTGTAATGATTTAAATGCGAAGTATGAGAGCGGGACTTTGTAACCAAGGGTTTAATCAGCCTTTTCTAGGTTTAGTATTTCCCGTGTTGGCACAGGAGGGAATGGGTAGATTCCTATCAGATTATGAGGGTTAGAGTGTGTCTTTCTGAACAATAACCATTTACTCCCGTTAAAAACATTGTACTGGACTCAGGCAAGTCCAGAAGAGGCAGCATGGGTGGAAACAGTGCAGGCTAACAAAGGGAATGGTGACATTCATGGAGGATGAGTTCGTAACTTGCTGTGAATTTGAGGGGTGTTGTTCTCTGGGTGTTAGACAAGATGGTCAGAACTAGCTCCTGGTCAGTGTTTGTGGGGAGCAGGGTGTGCATCCCAGGCAAAAGATGCCTCTGTATCAGCTCTGTTTCTAACATATGCTGGGCTTCTCCTTTGATCTCATGTCCTTATTCAAGGTCCAGATGTACTAGGAGACTTGCCTAGGCCACAGACCTATGTCAGTGTAGCAGATGCTTGGATTTAAGGATGGAAGCTGGACAGTCAGAGCAGTTGAGTTGCTTTTGGTGTATCTTTGGGGTTACAAGGGTAGTGCTTCGTCAAATGTGTTTCAATGTGCCCTCCCCAGGATCCCACCCTGTGCACAAGAACATGCCACCAGTAGCTGGAGCAATAGGCTGGGCTCAGGAGCTGCGAGCACGAATCCAGGTGCCATTTGGCCACTTCAGGCACATCCCACATCTGTGAGTGTCTGTTCCAGCTAAGTTCCTTTATGACCATCTTGAAATGTTTTCTCTAATCAATTTGATTTTCTTTCTGTGTTTTATGTTATCCAACGGTTATAGCTGAAATAATTCTGAGTCAAAGTGATGTGAAGAGCATTGGTGCTTTTCGGCTTCCCTGTGACCATTTTTTTAAGAAACTCGTGATTTGGATTTGTTTTGAAGTGGTTAAGAGACACAGTGGGATAGTACATGGGCTATTCAGCTTTCAGACATAGTCCTGTGTGGCAATTGAAAAAGGTAGTGTAACCTTTCCCACTGTGATCCCACTCAGTGTGTGCTCCAGCACCTCCCTGGGAGCAGCCCAGCACTCAGCTGCAAGCCCTGGTTCTGGCATCATCCAAGCAGTGAAGTGGAGCGAGGTGCTGGACTGGACCCATCTAAGGTGGATTAATGGAGCTGAGTTTCCAGTTTGGTGAACAAATGATTGGACACTGGCAAAAGACTACTTTCTCAGCATTAAACAAAGGAGCATTCTCCCAAGATCAAGGAAAGAAACTAGTGCTGGAATATTTATCACCTGTATGGTTGTTATTATGGGTGAACTTGGAGAAGTGTGGCCCCATGCTCACAGCTGCCTCATCTTATGGCACTGTATGAGACAGCATTTAAAATCCCTGTAAGCAAAGCAGTGTTTGGCTTAGGACATTTGAAGGCTCTCCAGGGACTGCACCTTGTAGCTCACAGGAATAACTGTATTTGTGCCGGTTAGGATTCTAAGTAAATGGATCCACTTTTTTTCTTCACTTGACCAAAATAATCCATCTCCACCACTGTGCAATATTTGTGTCTTCTGTCACTGTGTATTGCCATCAAGTAAGTGTCTTTAAGTGCACAGTTATTCTGCAGCAATAAGGACATCAGTGCAATGAAACAGGCTCCTGGACCATTCCAGGAGGCCAGGTTGTCATGTTTGGTTTGAATCTGGATGGCAAACTCTTCTCCATGAAGAAGGACCCAGATCTGCATTTTGCTCTGATTTTCTTTCCTCTGTTTAGAGCAGTTAGTAACATGCCCTGCAGCAGGTGTGATGTGATGCTGTTTCCAATGTGCAACCTGAAAGGGAAAACGGACTGAAAAGGAAAAAGATGGTTTTGCTGGGGTTTGCTTAGGGGGCTTGTTTACTTCTGGAGGGTTTGATCAGCACTTGCTGAGTGGTGACTGCTCAGGTGCTTCCTTTGCTATGTTTTTTTTATTTAATTCAGGTTTTGTCAAAATGTCTTGCAAAATCAACAACCATTTTCAGGAAAGCTTGGATATTAGAACAGATTAGACTAAACTAGGCTAGAGTAGAGTATTTCAGTTGGAAGGGACCTACAACAATCATCTAGTCCAACTGCCTGACCACTTCAGGGCTGACCAAAAGTTAAGCATGTTGTTAAGGGCATTGCCCAAAGGCCTCTCAAACACTGACAGGCATTGGGTATCGACCACCTCTCCAGGAAGCCTGTTCCTGTGTTTGACCACACTCTCGGTAAAGAAATGCTTCCTCATGTCCAGTCTAAACCTGCCCCGGTGCAGCTCTGAACCATTCCCATGTTTCCTGCCACTGGATCCCAGGGGGAAGAGATCAGCACCTCCCTCTCCACAGCCCCTCCTCAGGAAGCTGCACAGAGCCATGATGTCACTCAAACCCAGAAAACCCCAGAGTCCCCAGCCGCGCCTCACAGGACATGCCTTCCAGCACTGCCACCACCTTTGTTGCCTTCCTCTGAATGCAGTCAAGGACCTTCACATCCTTCTCAAATGGTGGGGCCCAGAACTGCACACAGTGTTCAAGATGAGGCTGAACCAATGCTGAATACAGCAGGAAATACTGTAGATGAAACACTGTGGAAGAGATGGCCTTGTAAGAATTACTCTGCTTGTCAGCCTCTCTGGGTTTGCAGGCAGTTGTACAGCCTGAGCAACATGGCCAGAGCTCTACCTCCTTCACTCTGGAATACCTTTGCTCTTCCCTACCCCTAAGGTTTGAGGGGCACAAATTTGGCACTGAAAAGAGCTGTATCTAGCAGGAGCTATGTGCTGCTTTCTTCTGAGCTTCTTTGATCTCAGGCAGAGCTGGCTGATAAGTGGAGGTTGCCATGCTCTGTGCATACATGGAGTGTGACATTTCCTCCGGCTGCACCGAGCCCTTCTTCCCACAGCACATAGTAGCTGTTTTGCAGATTGCTGTGCAAACACCCAAGAAAGACCACACTGGAGCTTAGATAGCTTTTGTCCTGAAAAACGATTTTCAAGTGATGTGGCAGGTGTGAAAAAGGGTCACGGTGCCAGTCAGTTAGAGGGTGCCTTCAAACTGGTGCGTGACTTTGGGAAGGGGTAAATACAGACTACGGCCTCACAGAGCTAAATGTAATGCTGAGCTTCTCTATTGTGCTACCAGCTACCTGGACTCTGCTGAAGGAAGCAGGGTGATAGAGAAGTATGAAGAAATGATCCAGCTGCTTGACAGGTAAGTGGTGGCTCAGGTAAGGCTGTAACTGTATGAAAAAATACTCTCTTCTAAGCCACCTTCCAGCACATTTGTGAGCTCAGGGCCTGGGAATATCTCTTTCTAAGCCAGAGGGAATTTTCTGATGAGAGAGGAGGATGAATCCTGTTCCTATATGCCACAGCCTTTCTGTGACGTTTTGAAATGGGAAGATTGTATGGGAGGAATGGGAGCTGTGTAGCCTAGCAGAAATGTTGAAACAATCTTCTGCTGGATGTACAAGTTGCTGTGGTGGAAAATCTGGGCTGACTAGAAGCCTCAATCCACTTCGTGTCCATTCACAGTGTATTTACAGTGGATCCCAGGTGGCTTCAACAGAGATGGTGTTTTCTGGGTGACATTTCCCAAAGTGCTCAGACAACAGCCTGATTTAGAAGAGACTTTGTTGCTTGGCTAGTTGGAACTGTCCATGACGTGAGATACCAGGTGCCCTGTTCAGACCTCTGAGACTTGTATGGTTCATTATCTGGATCAGCAATGTGGAAAAAAATTTGGGCAAAGATAAAAAAATGCACATTCTGAAAATCTGTTGATGGTAGTAAATTATGAGTGGCTGGCCCACTGGTTGATGGAACTTCAGTCCAGACAGGTCTTGAAAACCTCGAGACCTGAATCACTGAGTCACTTCGCTGTGTTTCTGCATCTGGGACAGAGTAACATCATGCCTCAATACAGGCTGGATACCAACTGTCTGGGTAGCAGTCCTTCTGGGAAGAAGCTGGGCCGTGATAATGAACACCCAGTTGGACATGAGACAACAGTTTGGTCTCATCTGTGTTTCCATGCCCAGCAGTGTCACAGAGCTCTTGAAGAGCTGAATTTCGCTGAGGCTGACAGTGTCGCTGCTGTGGCTCTGGGAGAAGTGAGGGCAACTGTATCCATCCCTGGCATCTGTATAGGTTTAGGCACCTATCCTGCTTAGACACTTTGGAAATGCCTGGTAGCTGCTTAGCTATTACCTTGGGCTAAGTGCTTTTGAAAGTCTCCACATCTGAATTCTCTGCTAAAAATGTTACTTGAGAGGTCTTTGCTGTCCTGATGATGCTGTTACTGGTTTTTGGGTGTTTGTCTTTGAAGCCATGTTTTTTTATGGAGATGACATGGGTGGGTTTTTAATATTCCTTCATGTTCTTCAGTCCTCAGAAGTGGAATTGGCTTTCATTTTGTTATATACCTTGGTCTGCTGGCTTGTTAGCTTCATGGTGGATGTTTTGGGTTTTTTTTGTGTGGCAGGTATCAGGAAAAGCTCTATGTAGACTGGTCCCAGACAGTCTCTGAAAAATCACAGTACAACCTTACTCAACCGCTCATCCGGCGAGATCCAGAAACCAAACTGATCACAGTCAATTTTGATCCCCAGGTAAAAACTGTTCTCAGTCAGCTTTCCTGCCTGCCTGTGGGCATGTCTCCTAGCTGTGCCCCACCATGTGCGGGAGGTCTGATGGGACTGGGACTAGAAGTGTTCTGCTGAGTTCTGTGGAACCCCTTCTGTGATGGGTCACATGAGTTTACCATCATCTTCATGCACTCTATCTCCTGGTAAAATATCAGGATTACAGTTTAAACAGAGCAAATTCTAGTTAATTGCAGTGGCAGAAAGTCCCTGAGTAGCCAGATGTTTAACTGTTGTCAGCATCTCCAGACCAGGTTTGATAGTGGTGTGAGGCGTGTTGGGGCATCATCTACAGGAGTGGGTTCACGCTATGTGTACTTAAAATGTGAGCTTCCTGAAAGGGTATAAAACCCCAGGAAAGGTTTATTTTGTTACCCAAGTATTGCAGCTGTTGGACCTCCTTTATTGTGGTGCATGAGGCTTATGATAGGTTTAAGATCTTTTCTCTGGCCCCTAGTGCTCCACTAAAGCCTTTCTCTATCCCAGGGAAGATTGACCATCCACCTCGCCCAAAGCAGAAGCAGGGGCCCAGGCTGGCGGTGTGCATATGTGGATTGAAAGCTTCTGGGGCCTGGTGGGAGCCAGGGTCTGTCAACTGTAAAAATGCCATTTGCTGGGAGGCACTGAATTTCAGGGACTGGGAGATGTTGGGATCAAAAACTTCTGCTGTAGCCTGGGGCACACTGATGCTAAAGAAAACTGTTCAGGAGGAGGTGTCCACTTCCTTTCCAGAGCCTGCTGCTTTGTGAATAAAATAGCAGGGAACCCCTAAGACACTCAGTTTTGATTGGAGGGTGTCTTCTTGTAAATGGGGACGGTTGTGCCGTATTCAGCTCTGTGTCTTGTTTCTCCAGCTGGTTTTGGTGCTGAGGGAGGTGAGCTACCTGTCTGGGAGCCAGATGGGAGCCATCCCACTGACAGCAGCAGAAATATATTCCTCCAAGGAATCATACCGGCAGATAGTGGCTAACTTGGACGTGATGGTGAACAGATACAACAAGGTCCTGAAGACAGTCCTGGAGGTCGAATACCCTCTAATACAGGGACAGCTGCACGATATTGACTCGAAGCTGAAAGAGGCAGAAGAAACCCTGAACTGGAGGACGGAAGGTGAGCTAGCTCTGTGTTAGGGGGAAGAGTGTTGAAGCATCTGATCACTGCCTGTGCTGGCCCTTCATGCCAGTCCAAGCAGCCACTTGTGTGGCTGTTTGCCTGTGTCCCCTAGGCACTGCTTTCTTACCCAGTTTTGCAGGGAGGGGGAACCTCTGTCCCAGCCACCTGGCATTGGGGTGGATTTGTCCCAGTGAGAGGCAGGGCCACCTCATTATCTTTTCCAGAGGGATGAAATACTGCAGCTAGAGGTGGGGTTTATATGCTGTGCCTTTGTGATGATTGAATCAGTGTTTTTGCTTGGTCAGTCTTAACTGTAAAGCAAAGTGGGGGATGACAATTTCTTTCTTCTTGGTGAAAGCAAACTGCTCACAGGTGGAATATATATTTCTGTCATAAGGCTTGTGGTATGAACAGGAACAATTGTCCTCCCTTGGGAACATGCAAACCAGATGTCCTCATGCTGAAAAACTGTTTCTCCATTGCACAATAAAGATGAAGGGATTTTCCTGCGGATAAAACCTAAATTCCTTGCATCTAAATGCAGCCCTTGCTGGTATTTGGGCTGGTACAGCCCATGTGTAAAGGGGAACTTTGCTACAGGTGCAAAGTTCCTGCTCTAGTGGTGGTGGCAGAGACATTCAGCCTGTTGTATTCATCCTCCATGTTTTGCTCTCTCCAAGCAGCAGGCAGTGGGAGATCATACCTGGGTAGAGGGAAGCAGGAACTGTCAGACATCCCTGGGGTGCTGGTACTCCTGGCAGAAAGCAAGAGGCTGTGTCTGTTTGTACCATGGCTTATTGGGGTAGGAGGGACCTTGAATATTTCTGTTGGTCAAGGTCTCTTGTGTTAATGGTGGGTGAGAAATACATGAGACCATGGGGAGAAAGTCAGAAGTTGGTCTTAGGGGTACCCAAGACTTTGTCCTAGCAGCTCTGAAACCAAGTAGTTAATCATCTCATTTTTTACCAGGTGTCTGGGATCAAGTCTCCATGATGATGGATGGTGTCTATGACCTCGAGCAGAGGATACAGAAAGCCAAAAATAATGTTGAGGAGATCCAGACCATTGTGCAATCATGGGTGTCGCCTATATTTGAGAGGAAAGATGGTAAAAGGGAATCACTGCTAAGCCTAGAGGACTATCAGGACCATCTGGAAAGACGTTACAGTCTTATCAGAGAGTCAGGACTGAGGATTCATTCACTGGTGAAGGTGAGGGGGAACCTTCCCCAGGGGCTTGGATTCTCTTCACAGGCTCTCTGTGTCCCTGCACTCTGTTGAAAATGCCCAAAGCTGTTTCACCTTAAAATTAACTCCCTTAACTAATTTGAAAATCTTACCCAGTGTTAATTAACAGTAGCTTTGGTGAGTGAGCTGATGTGACTGTGTGGTGTGGGGCTGCTGGCTGGGAAACACTGAGCAGCCAGTTCAGGGCAGGAATGGGAGCAGCTGCAGCCCACTGTAGGAACCTGGCTCCCAGCCCTGGCTGTTGTGGAGCCACTAGAGGGAAGTCACACATCAGGCTATGGAATCCTGCTTAGAGGAAAAATCGCGCCTGAAATATTTACCTGAACACAGAGAGGCAGCTGGCAGTGGCTGGCCTTTCTGTTTCAGACTTCTTGTCCTGCTGTGGGAGCAGGAGATGATGCTGACAGTCCAGGGAGAAGCCAAGTGAAAGGAGAAAAGCTGCTGTCCGAAACCTCAGTGCTTTACAGAGGCTTTCTCAGAGCAGACAGTCCTCTTTGCAGGCCAGGAGAAAGCCCAAAGCTCTGATCCTCACCTGCTGAGAATCAGGCACTATGCATAACAGTGACAGCACCTTGGCCTTGAGGGATATGGATTCTAGATCCAACCTGAAGGTCACCATCTGGCCTTGGACTCTGAAGAGAACCAGCTGACCCTCTCTGGGACGCTGAGCTCTTGTTGCCCACCTTGCCTTGCTGTCTGTAGTCAGCCCTGGACCTCTAACCTCCTTCTCTGCTCACTGAACCCATGGTGAGGACTTCACCATGCCCATGTTCTGCTGCCACAGCTGTAACAGGCTCAGCCATCTCCAGCTACCACCCAGAAGACCAGGGCCAAGGAGAATATGGGGTTGTGGCCATGGCAGGAGAGGTGGCACCACTGGTGTGGTGGCACTGCCAGTGTTGCTCACAGGGGCAGGACCAAGTGCAAAGCAGCATGAAGGTACTTGGGAGGAAAAGGCACCATGGCCCAAAATGGGGTGTCCCCATACCTCTGTCCTGCTGTGCTGGCCAGGCCTGAAGGGGCAGCAGCAGAGGGACCAAGAGCTGGTCTACTGGGATTCCCCCAGTTGTTCAAGTCTTTGTGGGTGCAGGTGAGGTTGCTTGAGAGAAGCACAGTGGGGGCACAGTGGGGGTTTGGGTACACCAGGCAAAGGTAGGTGAGTGCATGGTAGATGGTGGCCAGTCCAGCTCCCATTGCCCTTCTGCCACGAGGATGAGGCCACAGGAGTAAAGGCTCAGTGAAACACAAATAACAAGGGGACATTATCAAATATAAGGGCAGGGAATGGTGAAGAAAGGGTTGGGTTTTCAGCCATGCATTCCCATGGGGTTCATTCCTATGACATTCCTCTTCTCACATCAGGAGAATGTGGCCAGGGTAAGTCTGCAAAGGGTGACCTGTGCAAGGTCTGGCTTTCTCTGCTGAGAATTTAAGCACCCAGCTACAACGTGTCAAGTTGGGAAGCAGCAACTTGGGTCGGCTCAAGCCCAACTGGCAATGCCACCTTGTCTCATGTGTGCCAAGCTGTCATGTCAGCACTGGGAATGGCACCCTGTCCTGTGTCCCCATACATGAAATGCTGCTGGTGTTGGCCCCCTGGCAACAGGCAGTGTGTGTTGATTTCTGCTCACTGCAAGGTGGACCTTATTCTTTCTGAGACTATGCCTCTGTCGAGAGCCCCTGGCAGGATTAGAAAGAGCACTCAGAGGGCACGGCAAGGTAGGAGACAGGATCACAGCAGAGCATGGTAGGTGCAGGGAACAGGTACTCAGCCTGGCCTTGTGGGGATGGAAAGAGGAAACCCAAGAAGGATGAGTCTCTGTTGTGACCCAGAAAACCCTGAATTTCCTGACTGCGAGCTTGCCTGGAGGAAGGGAATACCTTTAAGCTGAGGAGGGAGGTTGTTAGCAAACCCTTCGTTTTCTGATCTCAATCTTCACCTGTTTTTACGTGGTTTATTTAAAAACCTATTTTGAATTTAAAATTTCTCTGGTCTTGAGATGACCGTGTGTAGAGTAGAGGTGTAAGCAGTCCACCTTGGAGGCCTCATCCACTCGAAGTAACATATGGGCCATCAGGGCTGGGTCTTCATGCATTGGGATGAGCCTTTGAGACCCCTGAGTGCTCCCTGCCTCAGGTGTTCAAAGCAGCCTTGAGCCCTGTGGCCTTGGAAAAGAGGGAGGAGAACATATTACAGAGCTGCTAAGCCTCTTCTGCACTCCATTTTTACCATTCTGAGTTATTTCAGATGACAAAGCAGCCCTTGACAGGAGGAGCAAATCATGATGATACCTCCAGCAGCAACATCTGTCTGTCTGGTTTCCCATCTCTCCTCAAGGCTGGTACCCATGTGCTCACTGACACCTGCCCATAGCTGTGGGCAGCTCTTTTGTAGGTCAGACTCAGCCCTGCTGTATTTGAAGGCATCTTCTTTTTCTTCCAGGAAAACCAGAATCTCTTACTTGCAGACCCAGAATCTGATGTCTGGAAGGCCTATGTAGATTATGTGGATGAGATAGTCTTGGATGGATTCTTCACTGCTATTGAGTGTTCACTCAAGTACCTCCTGGAAAACACAGGTGACATCTGCTTTCTCTCCCCAGGCTTTGATGGCTGCTTCACTCTCCCCAAAGGGAGGTTTCTGGTTTGTGGTCTCCCTCATGCCTGAGAGTAGCTCTCTTTTGGCTTCTGCTGTGCCTATTGCAAGTGCTGGGGAAGCCTCCAGGCAGGGTGGGTGGCTCCATCCCCCAGTCACTGGAGCAAAGCATTGCTCAGGGGAAGGCATGGAGAGGACTATGCACCATTTGCAAGGATTAATGGACAGACAAAATGAAGGTGTCCTCCCAAGTCTGTGCTTGGGCATCTGCCAACTCCCACCTTTCCTGTACATAGCATCAAAGTGACACCACCTTTCATTTGTGGAGAGTCTCAAGAGTTGGTGCTGCTGATAAAAGGCAGGAAACAAAAGCGTCAGTCCCTGAGCATTAGTCCAGTGAAGAGATGAGATGGGATCAGGAGTCACTAACTCAGAGCTGCCTAAGGTCACCGTGGAGGTTCTCTCACTCTGCTGGGAGCAGTTTGTGTCAAGCTAAAGCATGTCTTCAGAAACACTTCCCTCCTGAATGTGGAGGCACGTGGAGTTGGAGAATCGCATCCAGTTCTTCACCATCTTGTTAAAAACATGCACATAATTTCACATTTGCATTTTGCTTCAGTTTCCAGTTGCTGGGGTTTTTTTCATGCCTTTCTCCACTAAATTAAAGAGCCTCTTGGTTCCTGTTGTTTTTCTCCTCTGCAACTACTTATGTGCTGTAATTGTTCATCTCTCAGACTCCCTTTTGATTAGCTGAAGAGCCTGGTCTTTTTAAGGCTTTCCTCCACAGCATCTTTTCTGGTACTTAAATCACTTGTGTCTCATCTGTTCTCCAGTATCTCCTGTGGGTACCGGAACAATCAGCTAGTTTGCCAGCATCTCCTCCATGCTGTGTGCAGGTATAATGTCACCGCACCTGGTGTGTGGGTGTCTGGGATCACACCTACCTGGTGTCCCTGTGGGCCATGTGTTCATCTTCTGGTGGGATGTTAGTGGTGGCTCAAGTTCACTTTTCTCTCCTTGGAAAAAATCCTGGCATCTCTGTTCTTCCTTATCAGATCCCAAGGCAGGGCTTGCCCCCCTGTTTGAGGTGCAGCTGGATTTGGTGATTCCAAATTTGATATTTCATCCCTCCTTGGACCCCAGCACAAATGATGGCTTCTACGACATGGTGGAAAGCCTTCTCAATGATATCTATCGGATCTCATCGCTGGTGCCCCGGCTGGCCAAGCACAGTGGCTTCCCACACTACCAGGTCTGTGCAGCTCCCTTGTGCTGTGTGGCAGTGAGGAGGTACCATGCTGCTCCTGCATCACTGGTCTCCTCTCCTCTCCTAGGCTGACATGGAGGACATGGCCGATCTGGCTGACATGCGCCATGACATGATGGGACGTGTGCAGGCCGTGATGTCAGCCTGCTGCGATTATCGCAGTGCCTTCGACCAGTACTCCTACCTCTATGGGGATGATAGAAGGGAGTTCTGCCGCCAGTTCCTCCTCTATGGGCACATCCTCACTGCTGCTGAAATGGAGGCCCATGCAGAAGATGGTATCGCCGAGACACCTCCCACACTGCAGCAGATAAGAGAGCAGATTGACTCCTACGAGAAGATCTATGAGGAGGTGAATCGCATTGAACCCATCAGCATCTTCCAGAGCTGGATGAAAGTCGATGCTAGGCCTTTCAAGGCATCCTTGCTGAACGTGATTAAAAGGTGGAGCTTGGTGTTCAAGCAGCATCTCATGGACCATGTCACGCACAGGTAAGAGCTGTTTTGGTCTCCTCTCCCAGGGGCCAGTGCTGACCAAAGAGGGTTTTTCCTGTCTTGGCTGGGCTTTATAGTTTCACACTGATAACCAAATAGGTGCAATACAGGAACATGAGAAGGGGGCCCATACTGCGTGCCAGCTCCATCATATCCCCTATATCTTTCATCCCCTGATCTCTACAGGGAACTGGTACAGCTGAGTGTGTAAAATAGAAGCAGTTATACAGACTTGTTATCACTGACATTGCATGAGCTGGTGCTCCTGGGACCTGCTGTGTGGTGTTAGCTAGGACATCTGTTTGTCCATTCGTCCCAATCCAACCAATCTGATCTGTGCTGGGGCTCTCTGCTTACTTTGTTGAATCTGATATGAGCTGTCAGTAAAGCTGCATTAATGCCATGAGATACTTGCTTTATTTGTAAACACATTGCTCTTGAATGCACGCTACAAAAAATGTAATTTGAGTTGCCTGGCATGAGCAGTCATGGAGAAGTAGTTTCACAGTTAAAAAAAATGAGAAGTTTTGAAGGCAAGTTTTAAATTAACATATGTTCCCTGCTCTGAACAGCTGCTCAGTCACCAGATCTGTGCAAGACGATGCGGCAGGTGATTAATTAGTCGCAACTGAAGTATGTTCATAGGTCTGGGATGCTTACAAAGAAGTATTTGCAGTCATATATATCAGGGAAGGCTGTGCATGTGGTGGATGATATCTTTTGTGTTCTTTTCAGCACCATAATTCTGTTAGATAATTTCTGTGCAAAGAGGTTTTTGTGTAGCTTTAAAACCAGGCATTTAAGAGTTCTTATTAGGAGTCCCTGACTCAGTGGCTTAGTCTTTATTAGTGAGTGCTTTAAGGATACATTTTGGCCAGGCAGCAACCACAGAATTTAAGTGGGCACTTAATAGGTAAGTGTTTTGAAAAGAGCTGTGCTGGAAAAGACCTGGGATCCAGGAACCCATCATGCCTCTGCTGACATTGTCCAGTAACAGGAGAGATTAGGAACAGGTAAACAGGTAGGGAAGCTTCCCCCAGTACTCTCCTTATCTCTAACAATGTATAGCTCAAGAATTTCGAGAGTCAGGGGTCCTGCCTTTGTATTTAAAGACCTCAGTGGATTTTTTTTGACCACAAGTGTTCGGTTGCTTTTCTGAACTGCTGTGAATTTTTATAATCTGCAACCTTCTGCAGCAGGGAATTACCCTGTGAAATGACGCAATGTGTGAAGAAGAATCCCTCTTTTGTTGTAGCTTTGCTGCAACCTGCCAGGTTCAGCTGGGGGTCTTGAATTCCTGTATGGGAAGAGATGAGATGAAAACTACCCTTTCAAATTCATTCCCTCCAGACCACTCCTGAGCTTAGACGTCTCAGTCATACCCTTTCTCAGATACTTTTTCTCTAGCCTGAAAAATCCCAATCTATTTATTTGTTCCTTGCAGGAAGCTGTACCACATCTGTGGGTCCCTCTGAGCAGGAATTGTTGTTCTGATGCCATCAGCATGCTGCTGTGCAATGGACAGGGCTAGCCAGGCCTTGTCTCTGTCCATGCCAGTCCGGCTGCCTGTGATAAGGCCAATAATTACTTCAATATGAACTACTCTCATTTTGTGCTTTCCTGCTTTGTGTTATACAGCTTAGCTGAGCTTGATAAATTCATAAAAACTGCTGAAAAAGGTTTGAGCAAAAAGGTTGAGAAAGGAGATTATGATGGCTTGGTGGAGATTATGGGTCATCTTCTGGCCATTAAAGAAAGGCAGAGTGTCGCTGATGCCATGTTTGATCCCCTGAAGCAAACCATTGAACTGCTGAAGACATACGAGCAACAGCTGCCGGGGGAAGTCTATCAGCAACTTGAGGTGGGTAACAATTTGTGGTGGACACCAATTTGAGAGAATGTGAGCTTGAGAGCATTGCAGGAATGTTTAAGACCCTACTGCCTGTCATTAGAGGGCCTCAGTGGATAGTATTTTGCTATTGTCAGATGTGCCTTAATAGCTCTAAATTCGGAGTTATATTGAGATTTTTCTTTTAAAGCAGAGATTAAGCCTTTTGTTATGTATGAAAAACATGGAATTGCCTGTTCCAACTCCCAGCGATTACTCTTGAAAAAAATTAATGCATTTTCAAATACATCTGTTAATTAGGTTGAATTATAATTATTTTTAAATAAGCCAGTTCTTGGCAACTGTGGAGATGGGAAGGATAATGTTGGCAGAGGAGATGCCTTCTCGTAGGACTTTAGTCCTTCACTGGGTCTCTAACACCAAATCTGCTTGACCCAGGGGACATCACTAGGAGCAGGTTATGAAAGTATTTTGGCACCTTTCCACATCTGGCTCTGAAGAATCAGTTTTCTTTTGGGAATTATTTTCATTTCTGGAAAGGGGACCATTAGATGGAGGCTAGAAAAGACTGCAGTGCCCAGCCAGCCTTGGGAAGAGGAGACAAGCACTGTCAACAGCCAAGATGTTACAGTGGAGAAGCACGTGGCTACATGCTGATGGATACCCTATAGTCATGGGGTGCTGTGGGTGGAGTGGTCTGTGTAGGACACCAGGTTTAAAGCATGACCTTTTTGGGGAGATATTCCTGCTTTATTCATCTGTGCAGCAGATGCTCCAGTTCTCTGCTGCAGGCTTGGATGGGAGCTGAGTGGGTTTAGCAATCCCCTCGTTTTCTGCTTATGCAGTGGTGATATGTGGGTGATTGGGTCACCAAATCTGGAATAGTTAAAGGGTCTCTAGTTTCCCACAGACTCCCTGTGGACAAGGAGAGCTTCATTACATGGATACTCTGGCTGCTGCAACATCTTCAGCCCAGCATAAAACATGGCACTGCGGGGAACCCAGCTCTGCTAATTCCTTTGCCTGAGAGCTGCTTCTCTGGTGCCTGTTTGTGCATGTACATTCAAACAGCTGATTTATTTTTCTGCTAGAAGAAATGAGGAATGCAGGGCAGCCATTCAGATGCAGGAGATAACAAAACAGTTTTGTTCTTTATGGCAAGTGACAGTGACACATAGTTGAATGATTCATTCACTCCTGTATACAGTGGGAAAACCAGAAAAATTCCTCTAGGTACTGGTCCCTCCACAGCTGTGGAGATGGATGGGTTGGAGCTGGTAGCTTATATGAGAAGGACAAGGAAGCAGCTCCATGTGTGCCCTGCTGTGGTCATGGATAGTGATTTCTATAGAGACTGGAATATAAAGTGCCATAAAGAGACCCCACATGAGAGACAGGTCCCTCTCTGGCTCTCTCTGCTGGCTTAGAACTCCCTCCAGGTTATTTCCCATCTTTCCATAGTGTTGGTGGGTCTCCATTAACCTCCTCAACTGTGTATCCTCAACTTTGCATCTTGACAAAGCTTCCTTACAGTTTTAGACATGGAATCTGTTGCTTTTGCTGTTTTGAGATTATTCATAAAAAGATGCAATACGTCTTATATCAAATATCAAGTAATGCATACCAGCATTTAAATTTTGTTTGCAGGAGCTTCCAGAAAAATGGAACAATATAAAGAAGCTGTCAATAGCTGTGAAACAGCATGTGGCTCCTCTGCAGGCGAACGAAATGACAGTTCTGCGCAAGAGCTGTGCAGCATTTGATGTCGAGCAGCACAGATTTAGAGAGCGATTTCAGAAAGAAGCACCATTCAGGTACTGACAAATTATAGCATCAGAGAAGCCCTGAGGAAAAAAAAAAACTTTATGGAGTTATCTCCGAGTGTCCTGAGGACATATGGTCTAACCGTTGCATATATTTCCTGCCTTCTCACAGTGTTGTACCTGTTATGCCTGGGGTGTTTTGTCGCTGGAACACTGTCCAGTGTTAGCCAGAGATTGAATGTGGATGCTGAGTGCACAATATCACTTTAAGGTGGCATCAGTAGTGCCATGTGGCTGTACCATCAAAGTGTACGATGGATGTTTCATCTCTCCTCTGTCTGTTAGGGACACTGTTTGTTTTATGTTTTCTTTAAAAGTTGTTACAATAGCACTTATGAAGAACAAACATTTCTTTCTAGGTTTGACACCAAAAAGCCCTATCAACTGCTAGATGCAAAGCACATTGAAATTAAACAAATGGAGTCAGCCATGACCTCTATTTATGAATCAGCTGGTCTGTTTGAAGTCATGGTACCAGATTATAAGCAGCTGAAGCAGTGCAGAAAGGAGCTATGTCTTCTCAAAGAGCTCTGGGATATGATCTTCATTGTGAACACTAGCCTTGATGACTGGCAGACCACTAAATGGGTGGATATTAATGTGGAAAACATGGAACTGGAGTGTAAAAAGTTTGCAAGAGATATTCGGAATTTGGATAAGGAAATCAGGGCATGGGATGCTTTCACTGGGCTGGACAGCAAGGTGAAGAACATGCTGATGGCCCTGAAAGCTGTGGCAGAACTTCAAAATCCTGCCATTAGAGAAAGACACTGGGATCAACTGATGCAGATGACAGGCGTGAGGTTTGCGATGGACTCGGACACCACACTGGCTGACCTCTTGCAACTCAACCTGCATAACTTTGAGGATGAGGTACGTGGCATTGTAGACAAAGCAGTGCGAGAAATGAATATGGAGAAAGTCCTCAAGGAGCTAAAAATGACTTGGAGCACCATGGAGTTTCAGTATGAGCCTCATCACCGGACGAACGTCCCATTGCTGAAGTCAGATGAGGAGCTAATTGAAATTCTAGAAGACAACCAGGTGCAGCTGCAGAATTTAATGACATCCAAATACATAGCTTTCTTCTTGGAGGAAGTGTCTCTGTGGCAGAGGAAGCTGTCCACTGTGGACTCCGTCATTGCTCTCTGGTTTGAAGTGCAGTGTACGTGGTCTCACTTGGAGAGCATATTCATAGGCTCAGAAGATATACGGGCACAGCTTCCTGAGGTATGAAACCCCAAATTCTGTTTTTCATTTCTGGAAAGTGTTGAAGAAGAGCCTCCATTATATGAAATCAGGTTATCTATAATGCCAAGTTCCCCAAAGCAGGGCTTTTCTCCTGCTGCCTTGAGTTTTTGGAAGATACTTTAGTGCTATAGTAGTTTCCCTGCTGCTGCCCCAGGATGTTTTTGGACTGTAGGTTGTGCTTGAGTCATGCTGAGAAGCTGATTTTCTTCCCTCCACTGCTGCATAGCAAATACAGAGCTTCTGGAGACTGAGCGTGAGGCTGCTAGCTTCCTTCATGGCTGCAGGCATGTTCCGTCTTTCCTCAGAGGGGAAGGGACCAGGATAATTACTCAGACATTGCAAACTGTCAGACTAGAGCTGGACCAGGTGGCTTTGGCAGCATCCCCTTCCCTGCCGTCACATCCACCTGCCTTCAGTGCTGGTGCAGGGGGAGAGCAGTTTTCTTCAACACCTGCTTCGGAAAATGGAACAGTTGCCATTGTTGACCTCCCTGGGGGTGTCTTCGAGTCCAGCTTGTGAGTGAACTGCAGTTGACTGCATCACCACTGTTCCCATTAATGTGCAGTGTCACTGACAGCCCTGCCAGGGGACTGACACCCAAGAGGGTGTGTGCACAGCCCAGGGACACCCAGCAAATACACCACCCTGTCTCCATTCCTTCATTCTGGTTACTTGGACTTTCCTCCCTCTGCTTTGGAGAGCGCTGAGCACACCTTGCTTGCAGGGCAATATATACAGGTGCTAATAACCAGTGCTCTGAAGGCTGTACCGTGTGCCAGCACACTGTTAATATCCAACAGCTATCTAATGGCATGTATGAAATCACATCATGATTTAAATCTGCATCCTACTGGGCAGCTGTCTGCATCTCAGAACCTGTCAGGCAGGCAGTGCAATCAGCAGCCTCTTCCCTTCCCTATAATAAAAGATGAAGCTCAAAGCCTCTGGAGGCTGAACCTCCGCGGGATGCATCCGGAGCTGGGGGAGGATGTGCCAGCAAGGCATGGTAGTCTGTCTGGAGCTGGCTGCATGGCTTGTTTACTGGGGGGTTCAACCCTCCATCCACAGCCTGGCTACCTGGGCTGAACACAGGTTAACATGGATTGTTACCAGGAAAGCTTGGAGCACTTTTATTCTGTCTTCTGGCTCACTCAGGAGGCCTGACTTGGGAAGGATGGAGGAGCAGAGATATTTTGAACATAGCTTTATTTATTCTTCACTGTTAACTCCAGAAATTCAAGGTCCCTGTTAGGTACAGAGCTTAAATGTCAGTGTGCTTCTCTGCTGTTGACATGGCGTTTCCATGGCCTTACTCAAGGCAAGGAAGGGCTTTTTTCTGTAAATGTCATCATACCCATTTCAGGGATGGGCACTGGGACTCCCATACTATAGCAAGAGGGGAAGAGTGAACTCACAGGAAGTCTGTAGCTTTTCCTCAATATAAGAGCATCTCATGCTCCTGTGGCCAGGGAAACTTGATATTTCATCTGGACATGGAAGAGGAAAAGTTGTGAGGGGATATTCAAAGGAGAATTCAGTCCCATGGGAATGGTTGATCCTAGGCGTTGGCTTCTTCATGGATCACTTTATCCACAACCCCTGTGGTATACAGTGAAAAAAAGGCAAGTGCCTGACTGGAGACTTGTTTCAGGCATGTGGGTGGAAGACCCCTTCTGAAATGGTGAGAGATTCCTCTGTGCACTGGACAGAAGGATCTCTGCAGAGAGTCTTTCCCCTCAACCCAAAGACAGCACCCAGAGAATGGGATCTTTCAGAACAAAATTAGCGTTTTACCTTGAACATGTTCTTTGTATTGTTTTTTAGGACTCCAAATGCTTTGAAGGGATAGATGTGGACTTTAAAGAACTGGCCTATGAAACTCAGAAAACCCCAAATGTAGTTGAGGCCACCAATAAACCAGGTCTTTCCCAACAACTGGAGGACATTCAGAGTAGGTGGGTAGAACTTCTGTCTCCAGAATTTGTCAGACTGGGATCAAAGTTCATTTAACCTGTGCTCCAAGGCTTTCTTCCTAGACTGTGCATTCTTTGCATTCACTAGTGGCAACATTTCTGATCTTTCTCAAGTCTTTTTATTTGTGGTCTATCACCCTGAAGCCCCCAAAGTGGAGTCTGGCTTTGTGTACATGCAAACCCTCATCCTGAATATTGATTTGCACATATACAAAGCTAGTCATTCAGCTGGTTGTAGTAACACATGGTCTCACTGCCACTCCAAATACAATGTCTTAAATATCTATTTAGCAGTCCAAGCAGGGATATCTGCAGCAGAGCTGAGCCTGTGTTCTTTAATTTACGAGATTATCTCTGTGAGTATACCCTTGACACATGGTATAGCTAGCCTCCCTGAGAAAGACCTTAGTCCTGAGATGATACACTTCTCAACATATGAGCTAGTCTATCTGGAACACACTTAAAAGTTAATATGACAGCTGTTGTGTCAGCAGTAACTATCCATTTAAAATAAAGATTTTATTTCATTTTTTGCTCAGATAAGGCCAGTGTTCCTCACGGGACAAGCTGCATGTTATTTATGAACTTTATAAGATCAGCAGCATTTTAGCATGTAAACACTGAAAGTTTCATGTTAGATTGGAGCAAACAAGGCTTTCAGGCTTTCAGGCTTTGCAAACAAAAAAGCTGAGTAGGTTTGAATCAGTCTTTAAAATGCGTCTCATTGGAATAAAACCAGTTACGTAAACTTTCATCCCTGTGTGGAATCACCTATGGCAGTTAGGAGCTTGTCTAAAACTGTAGGCCAGGCTGCAAACCCTTTCTAGGCTCTTCTTTCATCTCTGTTTCTGCATTTTTATGAGGCTTCTGTGAGTCTTAGGCTGTTTGACACTTGGGAGTAGAGACAGATCTATGTGTTACTATGTGCTTTGTTGATCTATTCAGAAAATCCTGTGGAGGACCAGCCTACAGGCTCAGCTGATGTCTGGCATTTCCCCATGGTAGCAGAAAATCTGCTTGATAATCCAAATTATAGCATGAAACATGACAGCATATTTATCCACCTGTCCTGGGCTATGTTTATCTGTTTTGTCTCCCCAGGTTGTCTCTGTGTGAGAAGGCTTTGGCTGAATATTTGGACATGAAGAGGTTGGCCTTTCCCAGATTTTACTTCATTTCTTCTGCAGATTTATTGGATATTCTTTCCAATGGTACCAACCCACAGCTGGTAAGCCTTGTAGTGCATCACCTATGCATTTTCCAGCTGTCAGTAATGTCACGGTGGAAGATGCTGTCTTGGGACTCTCCTGCAGCTTATCCTTTCTTGAGTGCTTTTTCTCCCACTCTCACTTGGATTACTAATAATTCTTTCACTGCTGGCCTTCATCTGTCATCTTTGAAAGGCAACATGTGCTCTCTGTGTTGTCTGATCTAATCCTGGTGTTGCTTGCAGATGGTTTTGAACGCACTGCACAGCATAGAGCTATGTTTCTGATGCCATAAAAACGGTGGTTTTGTTTCTGCTGAGGTACAGTGAGGTTGGAGGAAATCATCTTTCTTGAGGATCTCAGCCAAAAATTGTCGCTGACCTTGGATCCCCAACCTGGGATACCACCAAACAGCATCTGCTGTTGAAATTGCCACAGACTGGTCATTCATATGTGGAAATGTTGACAAGGAGAGGTCTCTTTTTTAAGGTGAATGAAGCATTTGCTAGTCAGCCACTTCCTCCTTCCTCTATGCTGAGGCCTTTGGATTGTCCTGGTTATAGGGGAGAGAAAAACACAGCCTGAAAGAGGTGAGACAATTGGTGGTCAGACAGAGGCTGTGGCCAAGACAAGCAAGTAGTTCTCTTGAGCTGCCATCCATCCCTGCGCAGCTGAGGGGCCAGGCTGAGTATCTGACTTTCTGCACTGGTCTTCTGCGCCATCTGACTGAGGAAGCTTCTCCTCTCCAGGATGGGTTTCTGGGGGTAGTATCTGAATGCCACTTGTGGGAAAATCACTCCAAATACACTGTTCCTCCTGTTGAGTTCAGTGGATTGCTGGGTCATCTTGGGGAGGAACTTCCTGTCTGAGGAATGACTTCATTCTACTCTCACCTCCCATTCTCCAGAGGAACACAGTCCCTTCCTACCTCTTGGTGGGCAGAGTTCAGAGGATTCAGTCCTGCAGATGTTTTCCTGTACAGGGCATACTAGCATTAGGGTTCGTCATTAGTGCTGCAGGAGTTGCTTTCAGGAGACATCGGCCACTTTGGTTGCCAATGCTGTAGTCTGGTTGACCTTGTTTGGGATGCATCATTTATCCTGAGATTGGTGTGAAAATCAATCAAGATGTTCACAGCAAATGCAGACTGTTGGTTAAGGAATGATTTCCTTATTTCATCTTTCAGTAGTGGGTAATCTCGCTTTCTTTAAGCTTTTAATAATTTTCAGCATTCATGGGAGCACATGAATGGAGCAGGTTTGCAAGTGCTTCTGAAAATGCTGTTGTTTGCCACTAACCTTTAGCACTGCTTATGTTTGTTTCTGCTGCTGGGTGATATCAGCCTGGATAGTATCATAAATACATAGTTGATTGATACTTAAATGGAGAGAAAAAAAACACAGGAAGCAAACAGAAGATACTGTGTTGAAATGCTCCATGAAGTAATTCATAACTGGTTTGGTTATTCAAAACTATTTGCAGTAAAATCAAAGTAAATGTTAAGTAGGATCATACATTTCCACTGTAGCTTCAAAGTCTGATAATTCCTAAAGGAGGATTTAATACACAATGATATTATCCCCTTGAACTGGGCATTGAACTTGTGCAGATGCAGGTGGATTCAGGGCTGTGAGGGCAGGATTGCAGCAAATGCTGGAGTATGTCCAAAGCCCTGCAGACTGGCCAGGGTCTGGGAATGGACAGTAGGGATTTGTGAGTAGAAGCTTCTAGATGTAAGAAAAAGTTTCTGTGGTTTACATAAGATTTGAAAGGAGATATGCTTGTCTGGGGGTGTTGCTGAGTGACCATTGCTTCTCTGATGTACTTAGCAAGGTATGACCCTACTTGAGCATGTGTAAGAAACTCCTGAGCTATGTCCACCTGCAGAACAGCTTGTGAGAATTGAGTGTTGTAATCCTTTAGAATTAGGCAGACAAGTTCACCCAACTTTCTCTGAAAGCATTAAGTACCAGGCATTACAGGCTGTTCTCAATTCTCATCCCAGCCTTGGGAGTCTGTCCATCTCCCTGTCTCTGGCTGTCACTGAGAGAAGCAGTCTGGGACAGCTTTGTGAACTGACCCTTGCTGTGGGAACAGAGGAAGCCCACCTTTGTTGGCAGTGGCATGTGACACACACAGTGATTTAGCTGTGTCTTATGTAGTCATCTAGAAGAAGCATTGGTGACCTGCTCAGCTCCCAGCAGGCAGGTGCTGATGTTCAGAGCCTGCAGCAGTGATGTTGCATCTCCCTGTTGGCTCTTCAACAGGACAGGACTGAATGGTTCTTGTCCTTCTGGAAGAGTGCTTTTGGTCAAAATGGGTGTTTTGTAGAAGGTCTGGGTTGTTGAGCTGTTTATCATGGGTCTTGAGCAGAAATAGAGGTCTTTATTCTATATGGAGGACTTTTCAGGACTCAGGACTTTTCATTGTCCCAAAATTCATTTCTAACAGTGAAAAAACAGAAGGGTTCACAGTGAAGAAAACTCCACAGTGTGCTGAGAATAAGATAAAGTAGAGCAATGGCTAGAGACCCCTCATCACTACATGTAGGGAAGATGGGGCTAGGAGGTCATGCAATGTTTGAATGTTTTCTGTGCTTTTGCCCTGTATGGGAGATTTTCCAATAGGGAAATAGGATTTATTAAGGCTGTCTGTTTTCTAAATGATGTAGAAATAGCTGGAAATATTGAGAGAGGCAGCAAGAGGGTTGTGTTGGCAGTATCCTGGCCATGTATGAGAAGATGTGGTGCTACTGAGATGTCCAAGATCATGCTTTGGAAACATGAGGGCAAATCGTGCCTGACAAATTTTGTGGCCTTTTATGACATGGTTACAGCATTGGTGATTAAGGGAAGAGCAGTGATGTCATCTACCTGGACATGTGCAAGGCATTTGACACCGTCCCACACAACATCCTTGTCTCTAAATTGGAGAGACATGGATTTGCTGGATGGACTGCCCGAAAGAACTGGCTGGATGGTCGCACTCAGAGAGTGGTGGTCAACGGGTCAACGTCTGAGTGGAGACCAGTGACGAGTGGCATTCCTCAGGGGTCGGTGTTAGGACCGGTGCTTGGGATCAAGTGCACCCTCAGGAAGTTTGCTGACGACACCAAGCTGTGTGGTGTGGTTGTGGTTTAGGCCCAGCCAGCAGCTAAGCACCATGCAACGACTTGCTTACTTCTCCCCCCAGTGGAATGGGGAGGGTAAAATAGAAGGAAAGGCTGGTGGATTGAGACAAGGACAGGGAAGGATCACTCACCAATTATGGTGATGGGCAAAACAGACTTGACTTGAGCAAAAAATCAATCTCATTAGTTACCATGGGCTGCAGAGGAACCTCTGCTCTGGGCACCTCTGCCCCTCCTTTCTTCATTGACCTTGGGGTCTGCCTTAGTGTCTGTCTCACATCCCACTCCTCTATCCTCTCCACATTGTTTCCAATTCTGCTGCAAAACATTCTCTTTTTGTTTTTCCCCTCTTAGAAATGTTTAGCACAGTGACACTAATTGTCTTGGCCTTGAACAGAGGCAGGGCAGATTTGGAGCTTGAGGAGCTTCTATTATCTTCTCACAACAGACCCCATGTAGTCCCTCACCTGCTGTCAAAACTGCATCACAGAAATGCAATACAGGTGTTGTCAACACGCTGGAGGGAAGGGATGCCATCCAGAGGGACCTTGACAGGCTGGAGAAGTGGGCCTGTGTGAACCTCATGGAGTTCAACAAGGCCAAGTGCAAGGTCCAGCACCTGGGTTGGGGCAATCCCAAGCACAGGTACAGGCTGGGTGGAGAATGGATCGAGAGCAGCCCTGAGGAGAAGGACTTGGGGGTGTTAATTGATGAGGCATGATCCAGCAGTGTGTGCTTGCAGCCCAGAAAGCCAACCATATCTTGGGTTGTATCCAGAGCAGTGTGGCCAGCAGGTTGAAGGAGGTGGTTCTCCCCCTCTGCTCTGCTCTCATGGGACCCCAACATAAGGATATCAACCAGTTGGAGTGAGTCCAGAGGAGGCCACGAAGATGATCAGAGGGCTGGAGCACCTCTCCTATGATGAAAGGCTGCAAGTTGGGCTTGTTCGGCCCAGAGAAGAGAAGGCTCTGGGGAGACTTTATATAGCACCTTCCAGTACCTGAAGGGGCTACAAGGAAGCTGGGGGGGACTTTTTACAAGGGCCTGTAGTGACAGGACAAGGGGTAATGGGTACAAATTGAGATCAGGGAGGTTTAGATTAAATATCAGGAAGAAATTCTTCACAGAGAGGGTGGTGAAGCACTGGGACAGGTTGCCCAGAGAAGCTGTGGATGCCCCATCCCTGGATGTCTTCAAGGCCAGGCTGGCTGAGGCTTGGAGCAACCTGGTCTAGTGGAAGGTGTCCCTGCCCATGGCAGGGGGGGTGGAACTAAATGATCTTTAAGGTCCCTTCCCACCCAAACCATTCTGTGATTCTATGTTTGTGTCTGTGACATGTATGGTGGTCTCCATTCTGCTTGTTCTGTCTCAGAGCTTTATTCACACGATTCCTTTTACAGGTGCAACGTCATCTTTCCAAACTCTTTGACAACTTGGCCAAGATCAAATTCCAGCCGGACTCTGAGCAAAATCCAACCAAGGTTGGCCTGGGAATGTACAGTAGAGAGGAAGAATATGTCAGCTTCAGTGAACCCTGTGACTGCAGTGGGCAGGTGAGAGGGAAGACTTTGTCTATCAAAACTGTCCAGTGGGATCTAGTCCCCTACCCCTTGTGTGGGCATCTGTTGCCAAGGTGCCACAGAGCTTTTCCACTCTTCCTTTATGTGTGAGAAAGACTGGAAGAGGTGATGGATGTGTGGTTTAATTCCTCCTTACACTACAGGCCTTGGTCCCGCTGAATAGGTCTTCACTAAGTTGTGGCATAGGTGTCATAGTCCACTGCGGGAGAAAGGTCTGTGACCTTTTTGTAACTAGGTTTTATTGTTTGAATTTTTCTAAGACATTTTGAATGTTACTCCTACAGATTGTTACAAGTACCCTCAGTAAGGGAGGGTATGCAAATTAAAATAAACTAAGCTATCCCGTAGTACTTCTGCATGTGTATCTTTCAAAAGAGAAGGCTTTTTTCCCTAGTTTCCAAATCTTCCTTCCTTCCTACGTTGAGTTAGAGTGTGAAATTTAGGAATCAAACTACTGCTTAGGTTATCTGTCCCTATAGTTGCATGGACTATTATTAGAAGCCAAAATAAATAAAACCAGCTACTGAGTTCCCCAGTGATGGAGCTTGCTTGCATTTAAACTATATTGTCAGTGATGGCTTTGCCTCAGAAATACTAGATTCAGCTGGAATCCCATTCCCAACTTTGGCAGCAGCTTTATCCTGCTACTGTCTGATTGCATCCAAGTCCCATGAGTGATTCTGTCATGGCCTGAAAGTGGAACATGCCAAACCAAATTGCTCATCAGTGGAGTTCATTTTGGTTTCTCCTGTAGCTAGAGTTAAAGAGAAATCTGGCTTGTATTCTTGGAGTCTGGACAGATGCTAATCCAACCAGAACCTGCGGAATGCCACACTGAAGGAGGCTGTGAGGCTTCTTTAACCCAGTAACTGAGATGCTTGTCCTGTTCCATATCTTCACTAATTACCAAAGGCGGTTAAGAAGAGCAAATGTGTTACTGTGATTTTATATCTTCTCTAGGTTGAGGTCTGGCTGAATCATGTACTAGACAGCATGAGGGCTACTGTGAGAGATGAGATGACAGAAGCTGTCATGGCTTATGAGGAGAAGCCGAGGGAACAGTGGCTCTTTGACTACCCTGCTCAGGTATCTGCCTCTGTTCCTCATCTACTCTCTGGCTGATGCATGGGAAAGGAAGTGCTTTGCTTCCCCTTCAGTTCTGCACGTCCCTTCTTTTAGTAAGGGCCTCTAGATGTTGTTGGGGATATCTCTGGCCTCTGCTGTGCTGTCTAAGAGGGAGGAAGGATGAGTTGTACTTCATCCTGGCAATCTGCTGATGGAGTTTCCAGGCTGAGCGCCATGATCTGATTTGGGCTGCAGGGAGGATACACTCTTGTTTGGGTTACAGAGCTCATGGGCTTGGGCAGTGTCTGCTGTGGGTCACGGGAAGTCTATACACCCAGAGGAGTGAGAGGTGCAGCAGGAAAATAAGGTGGTGAGGGCTAATGGGGGGAAAGAGACCCTCAGATGCACCTCTGACAGCCTTGTGGTCTTCAGCTCTTTCCCCTCTGTTGTGTCAGGCATGTGAAAGGTGCTGATTTACTAATAAGTAGCTGCTAAATGTGACTGCCACTGATATGATGTTCTAAATGAACTTCACGGGGCAGATCTCTGTTGTCCTCTCTGCTGTGACTGCTGTATAACAAAAATACTTCATGTCACGGATACTTTATCCTTGATCTCCCTGTGGATCAGGCATTCTGGAATGTAAGGAAGTTCTGGTGTTTGCTCTGACACTGATCTAGCCCATTTCCCTAGGTGGCTCTTTCCTGCACCCAGATCTGGTGGACAACCGAGGTTGGGATTGCCTTTGCCAGGGTAGAGGAAGGCTACGAGAATGCAATGAAGGAATATCACAAGAAGCAAGTGACCCAGCTGAACACCCTCGTGACCATGCTGATTGGGCAGCTCTCCAAGGGGGACAGGCAGAAAATCATGACCATATGCACTGTCGACGTGCATGCTCGGGATGTGGTGGCAAAGATGATAGCGCAGAAGGTTTGTGTTCACATCTCAGCATGGTCTTGTTTTGGGTGTTGGAGTAAGGGTTACAGGAGTGATAGGCCAACCATGAGCCATTCAGATCACTGCCTGTCTCAGTGGGAGATGCTAAATTTACGGCTAAATTTACTTCTGTATTGTGTTTGCAGTAAGGAGGCAGAAAGCCTGCAGTGCTGTTCTGTATCATGGCCCTGCAACACCGAGGAGCTTGTACTTGCCACAGATTCACACTGGGAGTGAGAGTGTGGCCCTATGTCCTGTCACCAAGGCACATGTTGATGAATGATGGCGTTGTGTTGGGAGGCTGCTGGATGCAGTCTCGGTTATAGCTTTATAAAGGAAGAAAATGCATTTGGACTTTTTGTTTTGTAGCCTCCTCAGTCTAGTGTGGGGCTACAGGGACTACTTTGGGACTCCCTTGTTCTGCACACCTCTCCCACACTAATTCCCTGGCCTTGATACTGTGCCAAGGGCCCAGCCCTGCAGGTTGGTTGGAAAGTGCCCTGAGTGTGCTGGGTTGTGGCTCTGCCCGCCTCTGTATCCTCTCAGAGGCATCTAGGCTGTTTGCAGGGTTTCTGACTTCAAGGCTCAGCTGAGCTTGGTGGTGCCTGGGCCTGATTTGGGGCAAGCAGTCCATCTGCTGGGCCTGCCTGCTGGTTGTGAGGGCACTGGCCATGGCTGTCCTTCTTCCCCTGTCCCCAGCCTGTTTTCCTGGTGCTGTCTGTAGTCCCTCCCCTGTCTAGCAGCCTCTGCTCCTTCTCTCCATCTGTTTGTTATAAGAGCCTCTTCATGACTTGCTGTTTCTTAAATATCTTTAAGAGTCTTTTTTTCTGCTTTTTTTCTATTGGCTTTTTCCTCTCCCACCAATGTGGTCGCTAATTTGCTTCCTCTACTGATGGGAGATGTGGATGTGACATTTCTCACTGCATTGCAGGGAGGTGACCTTCTTCACCCCACCTGCCTTCCCAGTGAAAACAAGTCCAGCCCTGATGAAAACTTCACTGCAGTCACCTTCTTGGTGTGTGAGCTGTGTGTGCCTGTCATCCCTGGCCTTCACGTGATGGTGTTTGTGGCTGTGTTTCAGGTGGACAATGCCCAGGCGTTCATTTGGCTATCACAGCTCCGGCACAGATGGGCAGATGAGGAGCGGCACTGCTTTGCCAATATCTGCGATGCCCAGTTCCTGTACTCCTATGAATACCTTGGCAATACCCCTCGGCTGGTGATCACTCCACTGACTGACAGGCAAGTCCCTGGGAAACAATGTGATAGCTGCACTTTGCCACTCAGTAAGAGAGAGCTGCCAGCCAAAGGTTGGTTTGGTTTGGTCACCTGCACCCCCTTGTTCTTTCTTTTTGGCCCAGCAATCCTGTGGCAGAGCTTTACCTGTCACCTGGTTTGTGATTTGATGGCGGTACCCTCTGGGGTATCTCTGCCTCAGATCCCAAGATGGGATTCAGCTCACAGATTAAGATGCTCACCCATGGGTGTCTGCCTATGCACAGGATGTCCAGACCCCATAGAGCTGGTATGTCTAGACATACTGCTTGGTTCAGGTGTCTCAATGGGGACACCTAGGGTGACCTGAGATGCTCTGCGTTGCCCATTCTGGCTTCTAGCTGCCATCCAGAAGTGTGCAAGTCTCCTCTGGACTCCTTGTCTTATGTTTCCACCCTATGTGACAGTTCAGTGGCCAGGGGCATCTCAGGTGGCTCTAGTCACACATGTTAGTCAGCTGAGCCAAGCTCCTAAGCATTATCGGGTTTTGTTGGTCATACTGAGTACATCAGTGTGGCTTATACTGGGATTACGGACACCCACATGTAGGCACCTGCCTTGTGTCTGTCCTGAGCATGATGGAGAAGCTTTGGGGCTTACTGCAGTGTTGAGTGGGATCCTTCATGGGCTATCTGAGCAGATTTCTGTCAGTGATATGGAAAGGGATGCTTTGGCCTGAAGAGCACTGGGAAGCAAGTGGGAGGTCTTTCGGAAAAGCCAACCATACTGTCTGGGACGTACCCAATATGAAAAAGTGTTATGAGGACCCACAGAAAGCACAACCCTGGACCAAAGAGGTTGGCAGACCCTAGTGGAAGACGCTGAGTGTCTCTTGGAGAAAGCACAGCTAGGTAGAGGTGGTAATTAATGTCCAAGAGAACTTTCAGCTTACTCATGCACTCTGCTCGTCTACTGCTTTGCAGAAGAAAGGCTCTCCTGAGTGCATTGCCTTGCTGCTCTTCCTCTGCAGCTCAACAGGGGCCTTGTTGTGGTTTAGGCCCAGCTGGCAACAAAGCACCACTCAGCCACTTGCTCACTCCTCCTCCCAGTGCGATGGGGAAGAGAAAATGGAAGGAAATGCTTGTAGATTGAGGCAAGGACTGGGAGGGATCACCCACTAATTATGGTGACGGGCAAAACAGACTCGACTTGGGGAATAATAATCAATTGTTTCATTACTTACTGATCAAATCAGAGTAGGAAAATGAGAGCAAACCAAAACAAACCTTAAAAACCTTCTTCCACCACTCCTTTCTTCCCGGGCTCAGATTTGTTCCTCATTTCTGTACCTCCTCCCCAGAGCAGCTCAGGAGGACAGGAAATGGAGGTTGTGGCCAGTTCATCACACCTTGACTCTGCTGCTCCTTCCTCCTCATGGGGGGATCCTCACACTCTGCCCCTGCTCCAGCGTGGGGTCCTTCCCACAGGAGACAGTCCTTCACCAACTTCTCCAACATGAGTCCTTCCCATGTGCTGCAGTTATGGTCCTTCAGGAGCAGCCTGCTCCAGCGTGGGTGGCCGATGGGGTCACAGCTTCCTTCAGGCATCTCCCTGCACCAGTGTGGGGTTGTCCCCAGGCTGCAGATGTGTCCCTGCCCCCCTGTGACCCTCCATGGCTGCAGGGCACAGCCTGCCCTCTCACCAGGGGCTGCCAAGGCAACTATGCTCCAGGCAGCTCCTCCCACCTTTCTGCACTGACCTTGGGGTCTGCCTTGTGCTGTCACATCCCACTCCTCTCCCCACTGCAGGTTCCTTGACAGTCTTTTTTCCCCTTTTAAATACATTGTCATGGAGGTGCTACCACTGTTGCTAGTTGACTTGGCCTTGGCCAGTGGTGGGTCTGAATTGGAGCTGGGGAAGCTTCTATCAGCTTCTCACAGGAGCCACCCCTGCAGGCGCTCCCCCACTACCAAAATCCCCTGTCACACAAACCCAATACAGACCTGTTGGATCAAGTCTCAGTCTTTTTCCTTTTTTCCTTCCTCCTTTGCTCTGGAAGATGTTACATTACCCTGACGCAGTCATTGCACCTCATGATGAGTGGAGCTCCTGCAGGCCCTGCAGGCACTGGCAAGACAGAGACCACGAAAGACTTGGGACGAGCCCTGGGCATCATGGTGTACGTGTTTAACTGCTCTGAACAGATGGACTACAAGGTATTGCTCCCACCTCAGCCACAGAGCCATCATGGGTGGCTGGAGATGCTCAGGGACCCGTGAAACTTAGAGACTAGGACTAATCCTGCTGAGAACACTTTGATCCATCACCTCTCCTCAAATCCCTGTTACGCTCCTTTCTGCTGGACAACTTTTCCTCTTCCCCTGCCTTTCTTCTCCAAGGCTTGCAAAAGGTTCTTCATGGGGTCGTAGGTCTGAACTCTCCTGTCTGCCCCATTATGCCCCCTCTTCCTCCCTCCCTCCCTC